GTGTGCTGAGATCATGTTATTGGAAGAGAAGAGCAGTTTAAAAGGCAGAAGTAGTCATTTTCATCCTCTGCACAATGGGGTTCACTAAGGTTGATTACTCAACATAATGCTGGATGATTATATAGCTCGCGCAGTAGCACATGGTTATGGTTATGTATGGGTGTTTATTTGTCTGTTAGGCTGAAGCAAAAAGGGAGGGTGCAGAGTAATTTCTATCATTAGAAATAATTTCTATTGCTTTAATAAATATGGGCATCACAAGTATATATAGCGCCATAATCCTTCTGAATAAGGACCTTTCCTACTTTCTTCCACTGTAGTCGGTGCACACATGCACTTTAAAGGGCCCGTACACTACATATCTGTGTACTCCTCAAGGTTTTTATGTATTCCAAAAACAGTCATAATTAATTTTTACATGATTATGTTCCAACCTTTCTTAGTCCCTTAGAATTATACAGGCTGTTTTGGTCACTGTACCTTTAATAATAACTGACATATGTAAAAATGCTGTGTTCTGATTGGCTGCCCTGTATTTGCCTTCATTCAAAAAGCAAAAAGCAGTTTGAGCTGAAACACTCTTTATAACTTCAGTGTGAGTGGGTGGGGCTAAACTGCTATAGGCTGAATAGGTGGATATATGTAAATGAGCTAGTTTTATGACATCAAAGAAAAAACGAACTCAAAATGGGCTTAGTTCCACATATAGACTGGGGAGTGAACAATATGTTTTACATACTACATTAAACTCTAAAAGAAGAGAACATTCTGGATAGCTGAGATGTGGGCCCATTATTTCAAATATATATATATATATATATATATATATATATATATATATATACGTATCATGGCTATTGGGACCAAACCTCATCTCTCCATTTTCGTTGTTTTTCATTTTTTATCAAAATTTGAAAAAGTCAGTTGCTCTTTATGATGTCTCTTTATGAATTTTATGACGAATGGACCAACATAAATAGTCCAACATTACTTGGAAAACATTATTTATCCATTTACTTCCATTAAAAGTTAATAACGTTTTTCCAAGTCCTGTAAAGTTATCTACTTGATACAAATATATAAACCTTGTATCTCCATTTTTGTTGTTTATCAGTTTTTGAAATAATTTAAAAATACCTTGTGTGTAAATTTCATGAAGAATGGACCAAAAGAAACGGCCCAAAATTGTCTAAAAAAAAAAGTCTGGTTCCATTGACTTACATTAAAAGTAAAGTAAATTTTTTCCTTCTCCTGTAAAGTTACCATTTTGGAGATACGAGGTTTTCTTCCGACAGCAGCGAAATATTTGCATATATTTTCACTGCTCTCATCTTTCGCATTACATACTGTATATATGTGCTTCAGTACTTAATTGTTATCATTTTTAATTTTTTTTATCATTTTCTCTAATTATTTAATTTATTTCATTTTATGTTGACAACTGCACCAAAAGAAAACCTTTGTACATCTGGCACATGTCAAATAAAGATTCTGATTCTGATTAACAAAATAAAAGCATGTGTGTTACAAATCTTAAGCAGAACACTCCTAAACACATATTCCCTCATACTGACCACTAGACTGTGACTAAATATTTTTGGAAGTGCTTTCTTTTACAGTTCTTGAAGATCCAAGAATTAAGCAGGTAAGTATAAGGTACAATCTCTAAAGCACTAGATGGTTATTATAAGTAATATGGTGGTACCAAATTATACTGAAATGCCCAACAGGTTCTATTAACCAGGTAAATGTGAGGTACATTTTCCAAAGTGCTGTCTGATTACTCTGTGTGAAATGATAGCAGGTATAAATTTAACTGTAATGTCACATGTTTAGGCAGTAGACTGTCTTGTCACTGTCTTGGTACCTGGCATCATGTTACCCAAACAATTCCCTGGTATTATGAAGCACCTCACAATTACCTGGTTAATACCTAGAACTTAAAAGAACGTATTACCACTTTTTCTGAAAACATCGGACAGGTTTGATAATCCTGCATAAACATAACCAGACATAGATAGTTGCAAATGGAAAGCATGAAACAGTTACCAAACATAGCTTTCTTTAGTTCTGCCAACAGAAAACTTCACAGGCCAGTACAGAAAGTGTCTGAAGCATACGGTCCACATATTACAGATTCCACGCATCTCACTGAAAAGTTTCCAGTAGAACACTATAACACTGCAGGAATTTATGTGCTTGTGTAATGGAACCAATCCAGGATGTCTGAAGAACACTTGGAGAGATGATCTATGAAAGCAAAAAGCTTTAAAAGTATTTTTTTCCCCCAAAATACACACTTTTGAAAATCAGAGAAGAAGCAGAGCTTCTTCTTCAGAGTGCTGAAATGTAACGCTGTACCGTTTATTCATCCCTGAAGAGCTTTGCTGATGATGATTCATGAACATTCAGTAACCCAAGTGTTTCCTCAAAGAATGATGGTGCTTTTCAAGAGAACTCCACTGATTATCACTGTTAAGATGAAAGTCGTTCAGAGGGGTTTGGTGTGAAACACTCTGTTCTAGAGAAACTTACAGAGTCTGAACTGTTCACAGTGGTGGTGATAGGAACCAGACGTCTGAAGTGTTCTGATAGCTATCTTACTGAAAGCTATGGCACTAAATATTTACAAATATGCTGCCTGATGCCTCAGTTTTATGATAGTTTTGTGGTTAGATTTTGGCCTAAAGTGTTTTTTTTGTTGTTGTTTATCAGTTCATGGTGGAGGGGTGCATGCATGGCATTGTGAAGCCCCTCAAAAACGCATTTTTTTTTAGATTTATCACTATTTTATCATCATCAACGTTCCATATAAAAACCCAGAAGACTTGTGTAGGTTCACTGGTGGTTTTGGATAGTAAATAAAATGTCTATATCTGTGTTGTAGTCATGGCAACCCCTGGTTCCTATCACCACCACTGTAAAGAGAGTTGGCGAGTGAACCATTTCATATCAAAGCACTCGGAATAACTTATAAATAATGAGGACGAAATTCAATAATAACCCCTTAAAAAGGGTTCTTTAGTAAACACAATGGCTTTATTTAGAACCATAAGTTCTATTTAGAACCATTTCATGATTAAATGGTTCTTTGTATGGTGACATCGTTCTTTAGATTAATGGAGATTGTGCTGTGTATGATTCTATACAAAACCTTTTTTTTACATAGTACCAAAACTTCTGCTATTGTTACAATGTCAAGCTTATAAATAATAGAAGAACCCTTATTGATGATGAGCTATTATCAACATAAGTTATAAAAGTGTGTAATAAAACTTTGAGCCCACCGGTAGGCCCTGAAATGGTTCTACATAGACACCATGGTTCTAAATGGAACTATTGCCATTGCAAAATGGTTCTATAAAACTAGACTTTGTGACCAAACAGTTCCTTTAAATATGAATCAGAAGTTATATTTGGAACACTTTGGCATGAGATAAGATCAACAGTCAGCATCAACAGTTAAGGCCTTAAATAGAAGCCTTCAATTCACTGCCCAGTCAATCATCTGTATTACTTTGGCCAACCTCTGTTCACTGGTTTGTAACCTGTTCTCAGCTGACCAGTAGAGGACTAGCTATCCATTAGAAACCTAGACTGCTACTTAATAATATGAAGGTGCGCAGACATTTATTACATGTTTCAAGCATGTATTCAGTTGGCTACCCTGCCTGGCTCTTATACCCAGAAATCTGAGGTCACTTGCTGTACACAATGTTAATGTTATGGCAAAGAGTCGTGGATCATATTTCTGAAATCTTAGTAAATGTGTACGAAGCTTTTCTCTCACTTTGTCTCAAAAACATCTGCTAGGTTCATTTTGAACACCTTTGACGTGACCTTCGCTTCATTGTCCTCCATTCAGTTATTCTTTTCTTAGCCATATAGTTCAGATCAGTAAGGAGGATCAAGTCAATTGGGCTTAGCAGATTATCCTCTACCCCTACTGTTATCTTTGAGGTCAGCTTGGCTCCATTCAAGGTTTAATGTCTCTAAATAAGTGATTGACATATTTTTTGACTTCATATTTAATAACTTTTCCTAATTTAATGGAGACAACTTGGTAAACATAAAATTAACATGATGATACACTGAACAGGCATAACATTATGACCACTACGCTCATTGTCCATTTTATCAGCTCCACTTACTATATAGGTGCACTTTGTAGTTCTACAGTTACAGACTGTAGTCCATCTGTTTCTCTGCATACTTTGTGGTCAGGACCCCCATGGACCCTCACAGAGCAGGTACTATTTGGATGGTGGATCATTCTCAGCACTGCAGTAACACTGACGTGGTGGTGGTGTGTTAGTGTGTGTTGTGCTGGTACGAGTGGATCAGACACAGCGGTGCTGCTGGAGTGTTTAAACACTGTGTCCACTCACTGTCCACTCTATTAGACACTCCTACCTTGTCAGTCCACCTTGTAGATGTAAAGTCAGAGACGATAGCTCATCTGCTGCTGCACAGTTTGTGTTGGTCATCCTCTAGTACTTCATCAGTGGTCACAGGACGCTGCCCACAGGACGCTGTTGTCTGGATATTTTTGGTTGGTGGACTATTCTCAGTCCAGCAGTGACAGTGAGGTGTTTAAAAACTCCAGCAGCACTGCTGTGTCTGATCTACTCGTACCAGCACAACACACACTAACACACCACCACCACGTCAGTGTTACTGCAGTGCTGAGAATGATCCACCACCCAAATAATACCTGCTCTAAGGGGGTCCTGTGAGGGTCCATACCACTGAAGAACAGGGTAATAAAGTATGCAGAGAAACAGATGGACTACAGTCTGTAACTATAGAACTACAAAGTGCTCCTGTATGTAGTACTAGACATATTTTCACTAAATGTCACTGGATGCTCTGAGTTTCTGAGGGCTTATCGCCTAAAATGACTATAAACTGACCCATGACCTCAGAGGTCTACGCTATATAGTGTGAAAAAGACTGAAAAGGAACCTGACCCATAACCCATGGCACATTCACTTTCCCACCTGAGGCTCGTCAATCAGCTCGTCGTAATACTCAATGGTATCGTGGTCCAAGTTGTCTATATCCACATCATAGTTGTCTAGTTCCACTTGCCGGGCGTTTCTTGTGGGAGAGGCCAACACCACATTCAGGACCAGGAGTCCCAAAAGCAACCGGCAGGGCATCATCATCATCCACCTGTGAGAGGGAGACTCCAATGAGTGAGAGTGTACCAACATTTCAGATTCCTTTAACCCCTAAAAAGGGTTCTTCAGTAAACACAATGGCTCTATTTAGAACCATAAGTTCTATTTAGAACCATTTCATGATAAAATCTTTGTATGGTGACATCGTTCTTTAGATTAATGGAGATTGTGCTGTGTATGATTCTATACAAAACTTTTTTTACATAGTACCAAAACTTCTGCTATTGTTACGATGGCAAGCTTATAAATAATAGAAGAACCCTTATTGATGATGAGCTATTATCAACATAAGTTATAAAAGTGTGTAATAAAACTTTGAGCCCACCGGTAGGCCCTGAAATGGTTCTACATAGAAACCATGGTTCTAAATGGAACTATTGCCATTGCAAAATGGTTCTACATGGCACCAAAACAGGTTGTGCTGTTGTTACAATAGAACCGCATACAACACATTATTCACCATGTAAAGAACCACAGAACTTCTTAATATCCCAGGCTTATTACATACTAAGGCTTATTTAAGCAATAGAACCTGAGAGGGAGTGTGTTATCGCGAAATAACATCACGGCTGTGATTTGGTGATGTTATTCACAATAACACACTTCTCGAGTGTTCTATTGCTTTTATACAACAGTTAAATAAATAAAGTAATAAATTAATAAACTGGGCCGTGAACGCGGCGTTTAGTATGTTTTAATGTTCGCAGTTCTTTCACCAAATTATAGTTCCTTAACAAGCAGCTTGTTGCTACGTCAGAGTAACGAGCTCCGCCCACTCGCTGCACAGCCGGCAGTTCGTTCTCCAGCTCCTCACACTAAATTCCCAAACTGTCATCACCACTGAGCAGCTTTTCAGTCGGCAGCTGTGACAGAAGAACAGCTAAACAACCTGGAATCAGCCAGAAATGAACCCAATACCATTCGCCAAACGTGTAGTCTGATCTTCAGAGTCTGACCAGATCAGACTGAACCATAAAACTGCCGCAATATCAAGTTTAGCTCAGTTTCGTCAATTTTTGCTAGATCAGTATTAATGTTGTTTTGTTCCAGCCAGTCTGTAAAGCATCTTACAGCCCATTTAGTTTGGCGAATGGTGTTGGGTTCATTTCTGGCTGATTCCAGGTTGTTCAGCTGTTCTTCTGTCACAGCTGCCGACTGAAAAGCTGCTCAGTGGTGATGACAGTTTGGGAATTTAGTGTCGTCTCATCTTCAGAGTCTGACCAAATCGACTGTCGGTCAAATGTGATCTTAAAAAGTGTCCATTTTCTGTTTGTGGCAATGTAAGAATTAAAAATGTTCAAATGGCTTGAGCGTCTCATACAGCTGTCAAAGTCGTTGCTTAGCAACAGCGTCTCAGCGGAGTGATACAGTTTTTGTAGGGTAGTGGTTGTTTCACCATAACAGCATGGTTAAAACGGTTCTCAACCAATCAGCTTGCGTGGCCGGAATTAACTGTTGTATGATATCCAGTAACTACAGGGACTTCAATGCAAACTAGCTGATCTATTCTAAGGTTATAGAAGTGTGTAAGAAAACTTTGGGCCATTTAAGGGGTTTAACTGATTTACACTGCTGAGAAAGTTTTTGCGCAGAGCTAATGAAAATGAAACGTGTGAAAAAGGATTGTTGGAGGGACTTGATACAAGAACCACTTTTGGTTCCCTAAAGGACCTTTCAAAGGACCACTTGCTATTAGATTCAGTTTTTAACATCTATGGTTCTTCAAGGGTTCTTTAGTACAGAAAATGGTCCTGAACACTCAAAGCAAAGTTAAATGGTTCCTTGCATTGTGAAAGCGTTCTTCAAATTGGTGTAATATAGAACCATTTTTGACAATGGTTCTATATAACACCAAAAAGCGTTCTTCTATTGTTATGATGTCAAGCCATTTTTGGTGCTATATGGAACCATATACAGCACATTCTCCATCAAACTGAAGAACCTTTTCACCATGCCAAGAACCCTTCAATCATGCAAGGGGTTCTTTGAATGTTCTTGGTTCTATCCAGAACCATTGTCTTTACTAAAGAACCCTTATTTTTTAAGTATGTACATAATGTAAATGTTCTAGAGGCGTGGGCTCAAGTCGCATGCTTTGGACTTGCAGCTCGACTTTAACTCAGACACCGATGAGTCAGACTATGACTTGAATTCAAGCCCTATGACTCGAGGCCCAGAGTGGAAGAGACATGGGAAGAAGTCTGTCTGCAGACAGGACTCCTCACAGTCACTTATTTTTCATGTAAAAGGATAGATTTCCTAAAAGCTTTCCAGAACTGTAGAGAAAGTGTACTTGGCATGGACCACTAACAGTCACTTCATCAAAAACTATGGCTGTGTTTTGCTTATTTCATTTCAGAAGATAAGTGAGACGAGCCAGAGTGTTCGAGTTTGCCTCTATGTGTTGAAAACTCAAGTTCAAATTAGTATCAATGAGCCTTCACTGAGCACTTAAACTCCAGCTTTACTGGATTAATTAACCAGGCTAGCTTACTGTTTTCTTCATACTAGTTAAGAGGAGCCTGAATTCTCCCTGTTTGAAGGATTTTCTAAAGGATTTACAAGCTCAAAATTCATGGTAACACTTTATCTGTAGTTGTTCTTTATAGATGATTAATAAACTCTTAACAGATTATCAGTAACACATCAACAACATATCAGTGAAGTAGCAGTAGTGAAGCGTCTGAACAGTGAAGTAAATATCTTGTAGATGTTCTGTTGATTCATTACTTATATTAAGTAGATGTGTTGTTAATACGTTATTTCAATTACACGAAACCTAACCTTACCAACCTTACCCAAAACCTAACCCTAACCCTGGACCTAATCCTAACCCTAACCTCAACCTCAACCCAAAAACCTAATCCTAACCCTAACCCTGGACCTAATCCTAACCCTAACCTCAACCTCAACCCAAAAACCTAATCCTAACCCTCTCCCTGGCCCTAATCCTAACCCTATCCTCAACCTCAACCTAAAACCTAATCCTAACCCTCTCCCTGGCCCTAATCCTAACCCTAACCTTCACCTCAACCCAGAACCTAATCCTAACCCTCATCCTGGCCCTAATCCTAACCCTAACCTCAACCTCAACCCAAAACCTAATCCTAACCCTCTCCCTGGCCCTAATCCTAACCCTAACCTCAACCCAAAACCTAATCCTAACCTTCTCCCTAGCCCTAATCCTAACCCTAACCTCAACCTCAACCCAAAACCTAATCCTAACCCTCACCCTGGCCCTAATCCTAACCCTAACCTTAACCTCAATCCAAAACCTAATCCTAACCCTCACCCCAGCCCTAATCCTAACCTTAACCTCAATCCAAAATCTAATCCTAACCCTCACCCCAGCCCTAATCCTAACCCTCACCCTGGCCCTAATCCTAACCCTAACCTCAATCCAAAACCTAATCCTAACCCTCATATGTTTTTGACATGCTACTGAGAGTCCATTGAGTGTTTGTTTCATCTAAAAAGGACCCTCAAAATAAAGTGTCACCAAATTCACCTTCATTTTGCTCTCCTTTCTGTAAACTGGTCATTGGTCATTGGTCAGCATGGTCATTTTTGGTTTCTATTGTCTGTCATCTAAACAAAATTAACACTAGTTATTGTTTTTAGTTTATGTTCAGCTTGTTCATGTCATTGAACCACTTTTTGAATGAATACTGACTTGTTTAGGACTCAAACTTTAAGACTCGGGACTCGAGGCCTGTCTGTACTGATCTGCAACCTGATTTTGGACTTGAGTGTCAAGATTTGAGACTTACTTTATTCAGTGGTTTGTTCCCAATTCTGAAATGTTCTATATCAATTAAGGGCTTTTTCTACACCAATACAGTCCAAACCGAGAACCTGGAGATCCACCTTCCTGTAGACCTTAGCTCCAACCCTGATCAACCCCACCTTATCCATCTAATTACTGCCTTCAGAAGTCCTTGTTTAGCTGAATGAGGTGGGTTAGACGTGGGTTGGGGGTGAAACCTACAGGAAAGTAGATCTCCTGGAGGAGGTCTAGTGACCACTGCTGCAAAAGAACCACTTTGGTTTGTTAATGGATGGTTCTTTGAAGATCTAAATGAGATGTGTGAGTGTGAAGAACCATTTTAAAGTTTACAGAACCTACACATTATGTAATGGTTCTATAGATTTTTCCTAGAACTACAAGCTCAACTCCAAGAACCATTAAGGAAACTCTATTTTAATTAGAGCTGCAGGAATATTCACATGATTCAGCTGATTTCTGAAGACAACATCCAGACCATCCATAACCCATAACGCCTTAAATGGCCAGGGTTTTATTATACACTTCTATAACCTAAGAATAGCTCATGAGTATCATGAATAATAAGTCTTAGTATGTAATAAGCCTGAGATTTGAAGGGATTAATCAATATGAACCATGGACACACCCTGAATGAATAAAGCTCAAGTATTATTTTCCCTCATCCTAATGCATGAAATCCACTATCTGCAGAGCAATGCAAAATTCAGAATTACTAAAATATATTTCCTGCTAAATCCTTCCAGAGTAAACTATTGTGCAGAATGTTTTCATTATGTTCACGTTATATGAAGCAGCACAGAGGTTGCACTCTGTGACCCGAGTCTTACCAAAAGCAAGCAAAGGCAAAGACATTCATCGCCAAACATCCCGACGAGGGCTGCTTTATTTGGCCATGAAGCAAACCGTCCTCAAACAAACCTCTCAAAAATCATGGGCTTGGGCTCACCAAACGCTACCCGCTGTAGTACAAGAGAAAAGATGTGTTCCTGTCCTTTTATTCCTTGTAATAAGAGGCTATTTTTTAGTTTGGCATTCCACGCTATTTAAACGTGATGGCAAAAACATACCATAAACGTGGCATCCATCATTAAGTGCATTAGCCTATTTCCTAAATCTCAAATTGCTTTCAGGCTTTAGGGCGGCAGGGCGCTTTTCTGAGGATGGAGAATTTCAGTACTCATTAACAAGGTGCCGACAGCCTGTAA